CAATAGCTAAGATCTGGAAACAACCAAAGTGTCCATCAGTAGATGAGTGGATAAAAAAAAGCTGTGGTACATGTACACAATGGAATACTGTGCGGCTGTAAGAAAGAAGGATCTCTTATCATTTGAGACGATATGGAGGGATCTGGAGAGTATTATGCTAAGGGAAAGAAGCCAATCCGAGAAAGACAAATATCACATGATCTCATTTATTTTTGGAATGTAATGAACTTAAAGTGATGACCAAAATTGACCCAGAGACATAGAGGTTGGGTACAGAGTGACAAACATCAGTAGAGAGGGTGTTGGGGGAGGAGAGATAAACCAGAGAACTTTCATGCATGTATGCATAACCAATGGACATAGACAACAAAGTTGGGGATGGGGCGGGGAGGATGGGAAGGTGGGTATCAATGTGGGGAAAAGGAGATACATCTGTAACAAAAACAAATTAAGAAAAATAATTTTTTTAAAAACTAAATATTTCTTTAGCTTTATCCATTTGTAATTTGCATGTTACCAACATTTTACCAACTTTATTTAAGGTACAATATTAATAGGAAAAAAGTAGTAAAGTGAAAAAAAAAAAACATGAATAAATCAAAGTATTTACCTTTAAAAGTTTGTTTATTAGACTCTGGTGGATACATATGTTAGTTTAACTGGTTTCTTTTTTTAAGTGTTTCCATTAGTAACTAAGTAGATGATATGGATAATGAGCACCTTTGTTAAACTTGTACCCATAGTTGACTACTCATCTTCTGTTTTGCTTGGGCAATGCCAAAACCAAGTCTCTAATTTCTTATAACTTCAGGCACAGAAAAAGAAGGAAAAACATAATCTTTTAGGTTTTCTGATTAAACTATATCAATGCTTACTTTTTCTAGGTGTTTTAAAGGGGAAAATTATAGCTCTTTAGCCTACACTTTTAAAGAGTTCTCTGTAGGAAAAAGGAGGAAACCCATCATCAAAGTATGTTAGAGTAAATGTAGTTAACCACTGGCCCAGTGGTAAATGGGACTAAAGTATGGTTTCACCAAATGTGTTCCCACTTTGTTAGTGTTGATTAGGTTTTTAACCTGCAGCTGCTTAAGGGCAGTTAGTCCCTTCATATTGTATTTGTGCAGTTGCATAGGAGACCGTCATTTCAAGGTAGACTGCTGATGGACCTGGACATAGCTGTCTGACCAGTGGATTTTGAACAATGTAACTTAGTGAACTAATGATTAGAGATAAGCCTTATTTCAATGAGAAACATTTTAAAATTATTTTATTCAAAATAGTCAATTTTCTCATTAGCAAAATTTTAAATTGATATATAGAGAAATAGTAGTTTGCACATATAATAGACTCTTCCTAACTCTAACTCTTACTTGAAAAAGTAACATCTTCAATACTAACATGTCATTTCAACTTCAAATTCTCAAGGTTTCTTTTTAAATGTCTTACATTTCAGAGAATATTTACTTTTTTTGTTTTGTTTCTGCATTTCTCTTATTTTTACTGCAATTTTCCACCTTTTGTGCAATTGTGAACAAGGTAATGAAACGCCTCCCTTCCTCAGGAACATCTACTGTCTTCATGCTTTCTCAAACTCCCAGCAATCACAATTTCTCTTGGAGTGAACAAGGTGATTTCCTTTCTTAATGTACCAACTTGCTTGCATTCTCATTTGTTTAACACCATCTTCTGGTTTTCTGTGAAAAATTACTTCTCGTGACTCATTTTTATATCTTGTACTGATACTTAAGAGTATTTTGTCATTTTCCCTTAATCATTTGTTCATCTTCTTAAATTGTCACACTGTAGAGGAATTACTCTCAAAAACTTAGTCTCTGTTCCCATTGATTTCTAGTATGCAGTAGAAGCCACGGCGCGTTAGAGCCAATCTGTTCACCAAGACAAGAATGTTTTGCACAGTTTCTTTGTTCGATACACTGAGAGCACGCCACAACTCTCAGAGGTGTTCACCAAAAGGATGATATGGTTTACTAATCAAAGCATAATGACTCATCTACCAGATAATCTACTGGTGTCATTTCAAAAACCCAAGTTTGGCACATCCTATTAATGTTTGTATACTTTTATGAAAACAATTCAATTCAAGTTGGAGACTTCCTTAGATTTTAAGTGTATTCATTTAAATGTTATTCATTTGCTATGCTGTAGTCACTTGTACTTTTGGCCAGAAGAGCAGTCTATAGAAAGTGATTTTTTTCTTCTACATTTTTATCACCAGGTAGGTTAACCAATCTTCAAATCCTTTAAGTATCTTTACCTCACTATTACAGAGAAATCTGAGCTGTAAAAAGGCATCTGATTCATTATCTGCCAGACCTTCAGTCAGACCTCTTCTTTTACGAACATTCTCAGACGAATCTAATATATTGTAACAGGTACCTAGTGTTAAGTGGGCTGGCTTTAAAGAAAGATTAATAGCATTATAAAGAAAAAATGAAAATATCACTCTCTAATATTTTTCTGCTGTTGATGTGGTGAACTTTATACTGTTCTTTGCAAAAATATAAAGATGCATTACTTGGAATATGTGGAAATATGTATTTTAAATTTGCTAACTGCCTCCAATAAAATTTTAGGCATTTTCCAGAGCTGAATGGTAATACAGTATATTTAATTTGTAAGGGGCAAGTAATCACGGCAGTCTCATCATATGAAAATGCTCAATAATAATCAAGAAATATAATTTTTCTTTTAAAATATAATTTGGAAAATTGAAAATAAATATTCCAAAATTGCATCTGTATAATATCAAGTCAGTTTAGCTTTGCATGTTCTTTTTGGAATTATGTGAAAATAAGTCAGTGTGTTTCTATCTCCATATGCCGTGTCTGTGTGTTTGCAGGTTTAAATGTCCTTGTAAATGTCTGATCCCCAAAAGTATATTAATGAGCCAGTCTACTCTAATCACTTTTAATGTCTAATTATATTCAAGCTAAATGTTTCAGCTTTCACAGGTAAAATCTTTCCTAGCCATTCAGGGGGGTGCTGGCCTAATTATATAAGCTATTTCATAATCAATTTTTATAAAAACGAGTAAATTCATTTAATAGCATTCTTTCATTTGCCCAAAAAGTATTGGGGAGGAATTGATATGTTATGGGAGGAATCCTTGAACTTGGAGTGACTCCTCCATGTGTATTCTGTTTCTTACTGCAAGGGCCTCTGCTACTCTAGACTTTTGTAGGTCTTTTATCCAATAATGGAAATTTAGAGTAATTCATGATGAGTGAGGTTTCCAAGCTTGTCAGCTTGGAAACAACTTTGTACAGCTTAGGGCAGGGCTATCTTTCATGCACACATAAAAATTACTGATCATGAAAGAAATTGCAAGTCAGTTCATTTTGAAGTTAATAATTGTGAGTCCACCTCATAGCCCATTCTTTTATTAGTTATCAACTTCCCCACACTCCAGAAAAAAAGAAATATTGAGCTGATGGATTGATTCCATTGGTTCTTCTGTCTCCTACAGTTTGTCACAGTGTGCATCTGCATTGTTATTTTGGAGGCCGACTAATTTTGCCTCTGTTAGCATTTCCCCCCAACAACTCCATTTTGAGCAACTCACTTGCTTATATTTTCCCTCAGTGATAAATCTGCTTCCCAGTAACCTTCAAAGTCTTTGACCCTTTTGTCCCAGATAGCCTTGTCCTAAGCTGTGTGGTACATTTTCACTATACTGTTTCCAGTTAATTTTGTATCCCCCTGGATTGCTTTCTTCAGCTTGGTCTGTGGTTTGGGTGACTAGGCTGGGTAGCAGACACTGCTATTGCTTTTGGCCTCTCCAGGGCTTTAACTCCTACAATGCCTATAATAGAACTGAGGAAGTTGTGTTTTTTTTAAAAACAATTGTCTTATTTTAATGTATTTATTTCTCCAGGAATTTGTATTCATGTGGCATTATTTCTCCTCCAAGAAAAATATTTGGCAATTAGTTTAGCCCCTCTGAATTTGTCCCTTGATTCATAAGGCGACACATTTTACAAATTCTCAGTGTGAATTGCAATCTTATTTTCTTTAGTCATCATAACCCTGCTATCTGAAAGACTAATATGAGAATACAGAACATAAAAAGGAATGGAAGGTACTCTAGAGGACTTCTAGTCCAACCATGGCAAGGAAGGTGCACCAAAATGGGAACAAAATAGCACACCCCTTTAAAGCCTTCCACTACTCAGGTTTAAAAAGATTGGATTTTAGAGCAGAAAATCAAAGTTAGGTTCCCTCTTTTGACATAAGTCTTCTACTTTTCTACACACCTGATTTACACTCAGTGATTTGTTGGCATAGCATGCCCCATCCCGATCATAGCATTTGATAATATTTAGAGGACAGAAAAGAATCTACAATATTTTGGGGGAAATCTCTGTCTTCTTTCCTAAAAAGACAGTGAATAAGAAAAATGACCTAGTTAACCCTTAGATGATCTACCAAAAAGAAAATTAACTTTAATATTACAGGGTGCTAACTTGTTTCTTTCAATAAAGGAAAAATACTTTCACAGCAGTCTTTCAAAACTGAATATGTCTTTAGACATTGTCAAAATGTACACATTCCAAAAATAGTAATTGATTAATTCATTCAGCATGTCCTGAGCATCTGCTATGTGCCAGACACTGTGCTAGGTGCTAGAGATAAAAAGATAAATAAAATGTCCCTGTTTTCGAGGAGCTTAAAGTCTAGAGGAAGGGATCTTGGTGTGATGTAAGCCTCTGCTATAGTGGATATTCCTTGTGGTAACAACTGTTAGGAGAACCCTGGAGCAATCCAAAAGCAAAAAGCAAGTCTGAATCTTATTCAGCTGACAAATGATGAAATTATTAAAAACTGGTTATTGCGTCACTCTTTTTCCCTGCATGTGAATGAAACGGCTTTACTCTCATAACAAAATTTACTACTTGATTTATTTTTGAAAATGCTATACAGATGGTTTTACATTATTATTAAAATAAACCTTTTAACTTTGTATATTTTAAATTTTTCAGAATCCGAATCTTGAACTGCCTATGTTATTGTCCTTCAAGCATATTGACAGTGGTTACAGCTAAAAAAAAGAAAGCATGAAGAAACAAGTACAAAAAGTTATCATCTCAGGATATTCGATATGCAACAAACTAAACCACTCTCATGTCTAGGGTTCAGAATAAATATCCATTAAAATACCAAATGACTATTGTAAGCATTTACAGTTATTGTAAGTAGCTGTTATGGCCAAAGCTTTAAGTTACAAATTATATGAAAGTTGAAAGTAAGAATATTTAGAATTTCTGGCTTTAGATAGAATAATATAACTACCAAATGGGTGCTCTGTTAACCCATGGATTTTGTGAATAGATATAAAAAGAATAGTATAAAATAGGAGTCATGCAATGGGAATGAATAGATTTTACTAATATTTCTTTCTTTGCCTGGTAGAAGAAATAAGCTGTTTGGATCACATTTCTTGTTTCTGCTGAATGATAACCTTAAATTATTTTTTCAACATATGAAAGGAATACTTGAAAATACAAGAAGACTAAATGATATCAATGCATCAGATAGAATAGTTAATCCTTTCTGTTCACCCACATGTTAATTTTGTCTTGATAGAATATCCTTGCCAAAAAAATACCTTGAACATTTATATTAAAATAACGTTAGTCCTGGGTGTTTTTGTGAGAATCAAAAACATGTATTTAGTTTTAGTTTCGTTCTTCTCAATAAACCCCACTCAATGAATGTGTGGCTACTAGATTTGAAAATAAAACATTTCCAATCGCTTAGTAGCCCCTCAAAATAGTTGAGATGTAACAGATTGTTCCCATATTTTACTGGGATCTAAGGTAAGGTGGGCCAAACCATAGTTACATAAAAGTAAAGGGCATTTTTGAACATCAGTCTTTTATAACTTTGTGTAGAGAGGAAGTAAGAATAGCTTCTTTCAAACTTAACAGTTTTTATTTGAAAGAGGCTACATTTAATCATATATAGAGCACTTTTTTTTACTTACCAATGTGGGAGGGAAGGATCCATTCCAAATGGTATTTCAGCCTGAAGAGCCATAACTCTGAACATAAATGCTGTCTCTCTCAGCAAACTAGCTGGGTTATGGTCTAACTCTAAACCATGAGATTCACCTTGTTAAAGCCCTCAACTTACTGGACTAGAAGGAAATTTTAGCCTGCTAATGAGTTAACTTAAAACATAAAAATAAATGTGAAGTGTCTTTATTACATGGTAAAATTAAACATATTTTGGTGGGATATAAATGACTACATTAGACTACTAGATTGAAATGGTCTTTTAGCCCTGGCCAGTTTGGCTCAGTGGTTGGAGCATCGGCCTGTGGACCAGAGAGTCCAGGGTTTGGTTCCTGCTAGGGGCATGTACCAAAAATTAAAAAAAAAAAATAGAAAGAAATGGTCTTTTAGAAAGTGTTTTCATACCAGCTTCCATTTTTGGTTGTCTTTCTGGCATGCCTATACTATTATTAGTGTTTATATTGTACCTGTTTAGAAAACTTTTGAATTCAGTCTATACCAGTGTATTTTATAGTCCATATGGCATATTTGATTCTTTTATATATATTTTGTGTTAATGTTTAGATGTAGTTTTTCTTAAGTTCTAGAAGGACATAATTTCACTTATCAGAACCATTTTATCATTACTGACCCGTTTTCATTATTTCATTTGTTGTCATCAGTCAGTATTGTTTTTGAGTATTTTTGTTAGGTGTCATTCACACCTTACTTAAGTATGCTGTGTTCTGGTAGCCTGTATTTCAGGCAACCTGCTGAAAACAAAGTGTATATCTTCTTTGCTTATTCCAAAGAGCTAAAAATTCAGACCCAGGAAAGCTTGTGATGTTTTGTTGTTACTGGTTTTCAAAGAAGTACTTTTTAAAAAATATATTTTATTTAAAATGTTTTTCTTTATTGATTTTAGAGAGAGAGGAAGGGAGAGGGAGATAGAGATAGAAGCATCGATGAGAGAGAACACTGATTGACTGCCTCCTTCATGCCCCCCAGATTTGGTGCCCAACCTGAACATGTGCCCTGACCGGGAATCGAACTGGCGACTTCTTGGTGTGTGGGTCAAGGCTCAACCACTGAGCCACACTGGTCTGGCTGATTTTTCTTTTTAGAGAGAAAAGGAAGGGGGAAAAAGAGAAACATCGATCAGCTGCCTCCTATGCACCTCCTACCAGAGATCGAGCCCAAAACCTGGGTATGTTCCCTAACGAGGAATCAAACTGGCAACCTTTAGGTGCACAGTAAGACACCCAATCAACTGAGCCATATCGGTCAGGGCTGTTCTTGTTTTTATAGTTGTTGCTGTATTATTATTGTTTTATGTAAGAACTATAGGGACTATGAATACAAATGAGAGAGCCACAGTGGATAAAGATGCTTGTTTAATGCAGAACCATTGAAGATTTGACATAATCAGAATATCCATTGCAGTGGAAATACAACTGGTAGCATATAAAATTCCTGCAGCCAAGAAGAAAGAAGAGTAAGGAGGATTTCAAGTCATGTCTCAGCTACCCATTACACTGCAGTTCAAATTCATTATGGCAATGACGTGTAATATCATGGTTTAAATCCTTGAGAGGAACTCAACTTTCCTTTTTAAAAGACATTTTATTAATGAGCTAAAAATTGGCTAGTGTGGGGTTAAACCAGATAGAATAACTTGAAGTAAGCCATCCAGTATGCCCAACACTATAATCTAACCACCTTATTTTGTGACAGATGAGAAAGTGTAACTCTAGAATCATATTACATCATTTTAAGAATTTTGAATAATCAAAATGTCCTTGTAATTTCACAACTGTTATCTATTGTTTGAGGGTGTTACCTACTGAACTGAAAAACTAAATTCCATACCTATCACATTTACACCAGCAACAGTATAAATATAAGCATAAATCTGCAAAGTTCATAATAATTTAGTGATGAAAGGTTTTAATAACATACAGTTTATAAATGTGCAGATTTTATGCAAATGTTGAACAAAATTATTTTTTGGCTTGCAAAATGGGACTGCAATATGACATTTTTTCACTTAAGCAATTTTTTACATCTTTGTTGTTGCTTTTCTATAATGAGTGTGAATGCCCTCTTTTATGAATGCATCTTGCCTTTTTCATTACAGAAATATTGTTTGATCTAATCAATAAACTGGTATGATATGATTGATATTTTAGCTTCTTTTCTGGAAACATCTCAGACATAAAAACAATATAGAAGCAGTTTGGTGATGGGAAAAAGTTTCTAATTTCCTCTTTGCCTATACAAGTCACAAAATGCCATTTCATTGGCATTTTAGGGCAGTATCTAATTTGTGGAAGTTATGATATTGGTGGGAGTATTGAATAAAACTATATCATGTTACTGCATAGATAAAAGTCCAGCCAAATCAGCAAATACATATTGAAAGTCAACTGTGCTTGTCAGTGTGCTTGCTGCTGCCCATGCATTGGAGGTGGTGTGATGTATGGTCGGTTGTCTCCATCCCATTGAAATCATTTGATTCTTAAGTAGGCAAAGATGCAGGGATTTTACAATGGCTTGAAACTTGATCTAAAGTATGTACACCTCTCTCCCTTTTTCCCTCTCCCCTACTTCTCTACCTTCCTTCTTGTGGTTAAAAGTCTCTGTTGAAAAACCCTGCTTTCCTTGACTAAGAAACTAGTTTCTCCACTGTAGTTTGATGCATTACATTTTTACACGTGAGTCTCTTTTTTTGGCCTATTTTTGTTAAGTGGGAAATGTACTGCATTTTGAGATGAGACCTGAGTTAAAGTATCAGCTTTGCCACTTAGAGCCATTTCCCTCTCAGTCCTCTTTTTTACCTGCAAAGTGGTGTCTTGGGAGTAAGAGGTGGTCAAATGAGGTAAAGGATAAAAATTGCTTTGTAAAATGTCATTTGCTATTCAGATGAAAACATTCTTTTTATATTAAGGGTTTTTTTTGTTTGTTTGTTTTTTGTTTGTTTTCACTTTCTAAATGACTAGTTGTCATTTACCAAATTTTATTAGATTCTTTCTACCTTTTTAGAATTAGTCTATTCAGCCCCCACTTCCCCCATCCAGCCTTTGGGGGGCTGCCTCACTGCTGAGTCTGCTGAGGATTGGCCAATAAGGTATTGTGAGGGTCTTGAGTGGTTTGGCCCCTTGGACGAGAAGCATATGCAAAGGTTAGGGGCTGAGGTTGTCACTATGGTTATTCAGTGAATGTGTGCATGGCTGAAGTGCTGGGTGCATACTAATAAAGCTTGAAGGGCTGAGTTCTGGGAATAGTTTACAGGGCAAAAGGGGGCTTAAGTATTTCACAACATTTTTTTTTTTTAATTTTGCACATTTTCTCTCAGCAACTGATGGACAAGGAAACGTATGCTTAGTTCCTAGTATGTGGACCTATTATGCTGAAGAAATACTGCTGTGTGGATCAAGCAAATCCTCATCTCATGGGCCTTACGAGCTGAAAGGAGCAGTACACCTCTTGGTTGACCAGAGTTCCTGCCAGCAGCAAGTCTTTGGCCCTGGACCTTTGGGTGGGGAGGGGCAAAGGATGCTTATGGCTAAAATGCCTGCTGCTGCTTTGGTCTCTTCATCAGTTTGCAAGGGGATAATTCCTACTAGTAAAGTCACTAAAATCCCAACTCATTAACACACAGCCAAGCACTGTTGTAATGACTTTACATATATTAACTCCTTTAATAATAATTCTAACAGCCCTATGGAATTGGTATTAACATGTATTCATTTGACAGGGAAGCTGAGTCACAAACCAAGGTTACACAGTTTAGTATGGTCATATTTTGAACCCAGGTATTTTGATTAGAGTCTATGCACTTAACCGGAACATAATTTCCATCATACCACCCCTGATGGCACAAGTAAACATAAAGCACTACGATATTAATGCAAAACATTAACATTAACCATGAGAGCATCAGACAGACCCAAGTTGAGGGACAGTCTACACTATAACTGGCTTGTAGTCTTGAAAATTATCAAAGTTATGAAAGATAAAGACTAAGGAATGCCCACATAAAGGAAATGGACGATGTAACTAAGTACAGTGTACGATCAGAAGTTGGACATTAGATTATTGGTAAAGTTTGACTATGGTATGCACATTATATGCATT